AAAAAGAAGATGAAGAAACTAAATGCTAATTAAGGTAATTAATTTAATGTTAATTTAATATATGCACGATGCATTCATTCTACAACCATATTTTTGACTATTACAATACTTTATATTAAAAAAAAATTAATGAATAAATTGCTTAAACGGACTAACTGATCGAAGTAGTTCTATATAGTTGTAGTTCCGGAATATTTTCGTAGATTCAATTCCGAAATTTTATAATTGCATTAAAAATTGATCAAATGTATGAATATCCATATATATCAGTAAAAATATGTAATAATGTCAACTCTCTAAATTATTGATTTAGTTTTTTTTTTTCATTTATTTACTACTTTTGATTAGCCATTTTTTTTTTCTTCCTATCTTCTTCATAGCTACTTTTTATTTTGCTAATTTATTTACAGACGAATTAATGGAGTTTTCTTGATTAGAATCGATTTCTTGAAGTTTATAAAAACATCCTTGTCATATCTTTTCTTTTTTTTTGCATTAATATTTAAATGACAAATATGGTAATTGATAAATTAAAATTTTTTTTCCTCAACAATTTCATTTTATCTTTCCTGCAGCTATGTTATCATTTGTAATTATTGCAAATATTTGATCGTCTAAATGAATTGAACTTTTGATGATTGTTTTTAAATTATTATAAGTAAATTCTAAATTAATCTTTATTAATTATGAAAATGACAATGGCAATGGCAATAACAAATTAACATATTTTTGTCAACGAAAAATAAGTTTGTTTGTACCTTCGTAAATTTCTTTGAAAAAAATTGTTAAAATATCAAATTGACAGACAAATCAAATGGGTACAACGAATGACACAAAATTTTGTATCTCATTTTATTCAATTTTTAAAAGTACTAAGTCTCTGACTGGTATGGTTAGGCGTTCCATTCTTTTCTGCGCCTATTTTCCAGGCGCAATAGTCGTTAATGGTGATTCAGAATTCTGTATTAACAACATATCATCAGACAATGATTATGATAATTCTTTGGTACAATTTAGTTTTAGGAACTTCTTTCGAAGATTGTTACCTTCCATTACTGAAATGTTTGTCACCAAATGTCGCATACATTATAATGATACTGAACTTTTCATCGTTTAATTTGCTTCAAATGTGAAAATAATCATATTTTAATTGATATTGAATTCTATTCGCGTAAATTGCAATGGGATCATTTAACGATAATTGCTCTCTGTTGATCATTATCAATTTACAATGACCCGATTAGCTATATTTCTCATCTTTCACTTAGCAAAACTTTTTGAACCTATCATCATTGCACGTTCTATTAGCAGTTTCTGAGCTAATAGCTCTGCTAAATGTTAAACTTTGAGCTCTGAGCTAAATGTTTGCAAGTTTCTTTACGATCATCCATTTAGAATCATTTCTTATTTAATCTCATCTTATTAATTTGTAATAAATTATTTCATTAAATAAAACACACACACGGTAACAATTGGTTAATTGTCCTTTTATATATTAAACTAATCGATAAAAACGGTAAATACTTTTGACCTTTGAACTTATTTCCGATTGCACCTAATATTTCATATTGCAATAAAATTCATCTTTACGCGAGAAATTTTTAGAAGCAATATCTTTCTTTTCATGAATGATTTTCTCAAATATCATTAATTGTTAATAAGTTAATATTGTTAATCACTAAGCATTTGTATTATGGTATAGCACGAAAAGATGCTTAAATTATTAAGAATCAAAAAAAATTTTTTCTTTTAAATAATTTGAAATGCAAGTTATTAAATGTTAGAACAAACTAACTTAATGGGAAAATATGGAGAAAAGAAAAGTGGAAGTACTTTTTGAATTAAAATTTAATATTTTTATTCAAAATAAATTTATTCAAAACAAATTACACCTTAACGCTTCATCACTGACCAGAATAATTAATCTTAATTAATAAGAATCATTGCTAATTTTAATCGTAATTTCACTTCTAGAATCATTTTTCAAATTCCATTGATGCAATTTATAATTATTCAAGTTATTTTCAATGTATCTTTAGCAATTTCAGAATTTTATTTATACAAACAATTATCGAATTACATGCAAATTACAGTATCCTACCCAATGAATCATCAACCATTCAATTATCGATGTTATTACTTTGTCGTTCCTAAACATTTGTCATCTTAACGAAAGCGCATCATTCATTAATTCATCAGTAATAATCTTTGACCTTTTCATATCTACCCAATGCTATCCACCATAAAATTAATGATTAATTAATACATCATTGTTATGCAAAGATCAATGAATTCAATTTTACCTTCACATTGTTTTTTCATTAATTTTAATAAATCAAATGAAACTAAAGTTGAAATAAAAATTACTTTGCACATTCCATTAATTTCCTTTTTCTTTCCGCTTAACATTTATCATTAATTCATTTTTGTTGGACAAAACATTATGCCAAAAAAAAGGCCAATAAATTTTCATTTGTCATATTAACGAGGAATCTAAAAAATTCTTCTGCTTTCCATTTTCCTTTTTTCTTTTTTTTTTTAATTTCAAAATTAATCATTCTATAATAATTACATATTGCAATAATCAACCAAAAAAAAAAAAAAGACACGACAAATTATCGACTGAATTGTAAAATTATCGAAAAAGGAACAAATTTAATGTCATCTATCCTCTAATTTATAATATTAAATAACTAATTGTAAATTTTTTAAATGCAATATTATTTCCGAGCATAAATACACACATACACATACACACACACACACACACACACATACACACACACATACACACATACATACAAGTTTGAATTAAATTTGTTAACAAAATTTAATCGATTCAAGTGGAATATATTAAATGTATTGCAATATTATGGGAAGAAATATACCGTATATTTATATTATCTATAAAAGTGAAAAAAGTTAATTAATATTTCTTATTTTACTGAGAAAAATTTTAGCAAAAGACAGGTCAAAAAACATTTTTGAAATGATAATGATTTAATTTGAAGTGAGGAAAAAAGAAAAGAACACTAATAAAGGAGGAATGGAAGAAGAGAATGAATTGATGACATTATTTGTTCAATTAAAAATTTTCATGAAAATGCAAAACAAATTCCGGTTAATAGTTAACAGATCAAATGATAAGTTTCGTTTCTAAAATGTTCAATTTGCTATTTGGTGATTTGTCACATAACTCTTTCCATGACTGAATTTCATTTTTTAAATTGCTTATTTTTTTTGGAAGAAAATAAAAATTAGTTTCTAAACTAAAGTTTCGCAATATTTCTTTTTTTTGCTATTTTCTGTAATTCGTTTCTTTTTTTTGTTTCTTTTCCTTCTCAGATAGATAATAAGTAAATGGAAGGACGATTTTGTTATTTCCTATTCTTCATTTTCCCCTTTCTTTTTCTTTTTTTTTTGTTTTAAATGTGACCACTGTTTGATAAGAAGATTTGGATTTATCACTCATTCAAGTCTTCCACAAATAACTCAAATTGTCTCATTTC